AAGCAAGGACACTTATCAATAGTAGTGATTCTGGGGGTTTTCCTACTCTAAAGTTTACATTGTCTTGATAAAGTTGATATGAACTGGTATTGCACTTTTCCGTTTGGTTCCAAATGATCATAGTCAGCAGAGGTCGAGCATAACGTCACGATCACAAACAAACCGTGTCGTAAAAAAAATAATAGTAGTATCCTGATCCAACTTGAAAGAAAAAATATGATAATTTGGAACAAAAAGACCTGGAGAAGAAAAGCAAAACGAATTCCCAAGCAAGTTGGACACCATGAATTTGGACCCCAAACTCCCTGCCTGGACGCAACGACGGGCACTTGACAAACCCAGGATTCTTATCCAGAGCACATGAGAAGCGCATTGAACCTGCCGTTAGGCAAACCTGGAAAAGAGCACCACTTCTGACGCGACAAACCAGCATTTAGTAGAATTCCACCCTCAACAGTCCTCCAGATGTACACTGAAGAAGGAAAAACTGCTGGTAAAAAGATTGATGTATGACTATAGGAAGAAAAAGAAAGACCAAGGAACTGAAAGTTACGCTATGATGTTCACTAACACCACCAGTTACCTGGCAATCAGCTCATGCGATAACATTCCACAACACTGACCAAAGGTACTGACGTTCTGCAACTATGTAGTAACTGCCAATCTGCTCTAGCGTGTCGTGCAATGTTATCGCATGAGCTGATTGCCATGTAACTAGCAGTGTTAGTGGACATTATAGCGTAACTTGTAGTACATTTCTTCAACGTAGTAGTAGTAGTAGTACGTGCATCTGCGTGATCCACACCAGTTCAAATGAACACTAGGAAATTTGAGAACCGAACATTTTCCTTTCCCTCTCCTCATTGTACTCTTCATTGTACATTGAAGAATTGGAGAAGTTTTCAATTTGTTGCAATTCGTTGGTCCTTTTTTCTTCCAATACATCCTTGGCTCTCCATCCGAGTCTGATTTATGACTATCTCGCGTTTTAACAGCGCAGCAAGTACATGTAGAAGGACAATCAAGGCTTGTCCTTGTTCTTCTGTACCAGAGATGTTACCAAGTGATTTGGTTGGCGACACCACTGCATCATCAATTCATAGCTGCTGTTCAAGCATTCGCATCGTACCTCGCGAACGTTGCCCTATTTATTAGACATCCTTAGCAAAAGTACGATAACGCTAACTTTTACGGTACTCACTCCCAGCCGTGACAAAAGACGTTATCGGATAACGGAAAAACGTTACAGAGCTCAAAATAACGGGCCGACGTTCGTTATGGAAATTCTGCAAAAAATGCAAAAACTCGCATTGTTTTGTAACTGGCGGGAGATAAAAAGCACGTCGTGCAGATCGAGATGAGATCGAGAGTCGAGATTGCTTCCTCTTGTGACATTTAGCTTTTTGGCGAGTTTTGCCTTTCAGTTGACAATTTCTGCGTCCTCTGCTTCGTGCCTTTCTCCCTCTATCCCATCTGGGAAACAAAGGACCAGTTCCACGGCACTCCTGAGGAAGAAATTCATCGGCCTCTCCCAGACGTGCTGGAGCTGGAGAACCCTTACAGTCTTCGGTGCTGCGTTTAGGAAAGGGTTTCCAAGGACCTGGGAACAGCGAAAACTCATGTTCGCCCTGCTTTTGCTATTCCAGAGTAAAAGACCTCGCCAAGGTATTCTTTCGGAACGACAACAAACTAATCCCTGGTTCAAAATTTTGAATTTCCCGCATCTGTTTCCACGAAAATTCATATCGCCATGGTTGTCACGACTACTTCGTCTCAACGATAACGTACTTTGTGCTAAGGGAAAAATCAGCTTGAACGATCCGAAGTACGGAAAGGTTTGCGTTTACGTTAGCGTTTTTTTAGCTAAGGATATCTAATAACCATGAAAGTATTTGCAATGAATTCTTCAAAACGGTTTAGTCGCAACGAAAACAATGATACATGGTCCAGTAGCATGGCCACTTCACCTCACCGTGGGAAGCACTTTTGTACGCACGTCTTTCACTGAGGGTTGAGCTGAAGGAGGCTGATTAAATGTGTGCTCCAGAAGCACCCATTTTAGAACACTGCAGCAGAGATGCAGTACTATGGATAGAGATTAAACTGACGCCTCGTCGCTTCCAGTGCAACAAATATTATAGAGAAGCCCTAGTTAGAAGCAGCGTGATTCAGAGCCACTCACTCTTTGTCTATGCATCCAATATCCTCTACAGTATAATGATCTACTCCATAATGTTCTAAATACAATAGTGCATGCCACCAAACGAACCCATTGTTGCCTATTCGCCGTGTTAGTAGGACCTGTAAGCTCTGTACAACATGATTGTTCTCCGAGTCCCTGGAGACATGTTTCCCTGGGGAAACGTATCATTCATTGCCCAGCGCAACCAAATCTGTTGATGCGAGCGTCGAGACGAAGGCCGACAATAACATTGGAATGTTCGGACTAATGCAGACAAGTTTAACCAGTGAATATAATTATAATTGTATTCAACCGCTGGACGATTAATATAGGTTAGGGCATGGCAGGGAGGGAATTATGGCTTAATGAGAGAAACTTGTGCTGCCTAATCTGTATATACAAATGTAGTCGACATTTTTTATGTCATGCACATACTCTGACTTCTCATGAGTTGACTATATTTTCCGATTTTCCTTCCAGGCAAGCCGTCAACAACTTTCATGACGATATCACCAGGAAGCATCAGCACCTTTCAGAGCACGACGTATCATACCACCACCTATATTGTCGTGGCAGCAGTAGCTTCTATCCTGGCAGTAGCTCTGGGACTTACGGCCCTAGTCTGCTGTGTGAAGAACAGGAAACTGTCCAGAATGAAAGGTAGAGGACGTGATCAAGCGCTGTATAGATGTTCTACAACACCCGAATCACGTCTAAGCCAGATTGATGCTGTCACATTGACGACAAATGAACTGTATACCTTACCAGCATGCGCATCGGAAGTGCACAACAGTGCGTGCACGATCGGAAACTCAAACGCGAACAGCACAGTGTCTTCCAGCTGTACTAGCCAGGTTGGCATGACCTTGAATCCTGTGTATGACGACAGTGCACTACATGTACCACTGGCCGTGAGGCTAAGCAACACCACAAATCCAAGTGACAATGGATACGAGGAGGTAGATATTTGCTCAAAGACTTGACACACATCGCAGGCTTGCAAGAGAAAATCCTTATCCACCTTACTTGGCGTTCAATTCCCCAACAGGATTTTTGATAGAACGATTATCTTTTCAGCACCTCTCCACATTCTTCCACGGATACAAATCTTATCACACAAGCAGGACCACTCTTTTGATCACGTACCTTCAGCTGAGAAACGGAACACTGATTGTTTACATTATTGTCCTTCGTTAAATAGATATTAATTTTATGTTCTTTCAAAAGTTTGACATTTCTGATTTCGCCGTGTCTTCACCCTTATCATGACAGATTGTTGCCATATATTGTGCATGTTATTTCTGGGCAAGCGTTCTAGAGGCATGTACGTATTTTCGTCATTTCCTGTACTCGATTTGTCAACCACGACTACGGTATAGCGGACACAAGAGTGTTGAATCCTCACGTTCAGACAATTTGAATTCGATTTACTAAGCATAACATGCCGTCACTGCTTGTTGTGCATCCACATTCAATTGCTGATCTGTTCGCTTCATCTTTTTCTCCTTTGTCTTTTTCTTCTTTGCGATTTGGATATGTGATGCGTCAGTAAAAACCAGTGAATAATACAAGTGTGTACATGAACACGAGGCACACGTCCTCCCCTTGATGGCATAAGCAAATAACAATGTGATGGAGAAAGAATTTCATTGGGCTACATGGGCATTATTGACGAGGAGAAGGAGATGGATTATGCTTGAGAAACACTACATTGCCACGATCCAGGTTGTGCGTGCTTCCCCTAGCTGCATCTCATGCTTGGCAGACCACAATGACGTACTTTCAATGCAGAAAATTAATTGGTTGCAGTCAGTTTTCTACAGATTTTTTCCGTTTGCTTCTTTCTCTCAATCAGTGAAAACAAATTTGAGGAATCACATCATGCACTAGTAGTAGGTTGAACTAGCCCTTGGCCCCCAGAACTTGGAAGAAGTGCAAAGTCAAGTGGGTCCAATTCGTTCAACTCTCATCCCACTGAGGAGTAGTTCATGACATCCATATGACATCCCCCACCGATGCCATCATGCGTATCGGAAGATCAATAATTATTATCTTGGGCCATGTACACAAGAGCTCGGGAGTTGAAGTACTCGTAGAAAAAAGCCGACGAAAATGCTGAACTTGATGACCTTCCATCAGTCTATTGATGACCTTCGATCGTGTTTATTGATAAATGCGAAGGGCATGCACAAAACACGTTGCACGCAGCAGGAAAGACTGCACACGGAAATAAGCACTGACTGGTCCTTTGCCGTCACTAATTTCCGCAGCTGTGATACCATGCTTGACCAAGATTGGTGTAGCTCACCTTCCATACAACTGGGAATGGCGACACAGGAAATAACAGCACCACCCCAGCTGTCAAATTCCGTCCTGAATTCACTGAATCAGCGTGAGAAAAGGAAGAGACACTCTGATTTCGTGCCATCTCGTACTTACATTTTTTTATAAGCAAGCCAGAAGAAAGTGATCGTATTGCACACAACGAATCATGGTCAGGATGCCAAACAGGCTCGGCCACATAGATATTGGTCACCAGCATGGCACCAAGGTGTTGTGTGTGTTATCGTCTGTCCCTTGCTCAGTGTCCGCAATGTTTGAACAAATTACATAAGCGCTGTCTGGAATGAATTGCCAGCAACGTCACGTCACGTGGGACGTACATGTCTGCTTTTGTTTGTGCGCTAACGTTTCCTGAAACAGTCAACGGCATACGGCTGTTTGAAGAGGCTTCAATCTGCCGCATACTGCCACATCATAGACGGAGAACTATTTACATTTAACTATCAGAGTAAGCGCAGAACGTGTTCAATTATAATCATCATTAATAGCAGAGGCTGTCAGAGACTCGTTGGGAATCAATGACCGAAAGGAATTGTACAGCGAAGAAAATAGAACGAACGCAAACTCCAGGAGGTAAGAACTAACCTGCACTGTTGTTTTCGGATCCAAAAGTCACTTATATCAAGAGTACATAACCCTCAGCTCCAGCCTTGCGTAGGGACTTGGTCTAGCGTAATTGCAAAAAAAATGGATCTTTGGTTCATAATACCGTACAGATCCGACTACGCTCAACCAAGACCTTCTGCAGAGCTGGATCAGGCGTTGCACACTCTGGGAGGTAATTATTGCAGTATTTGTACTCTTGCTTATACGTGAGATGGCTTTCAAGTTCGAGTGGTGCGCTCAAGTTTCTGTGAGGTTGAATGGGGGTTCGCTGCAATTGGCCTACCGTGAGCAGTCCGAGAATTAATAATTATTAATATCGAATCAGGGAGCTTTCTTGCGCTGTCCTTTGTCTCTAGAACCACACAAGTGGCTTGTATTCTGGAGTACCACCAAACGCCACACTGCCTATAGCGGGGTTGTAGCTTGGCTGAGGTGCTGTTTGGCATTTTCTCTTGCCAGGTCTGCCATCCGCGGATCACACTCTGTTCGCCGTGGTCACTTCGACCTCGCGCCTGTCGACCTTGTCCAGGCTGAGGCGCGTCTGGCTCGACATTAGACTGTATTCACAGCCATCTATCTCCTTTCTTCCTGTTGTAGAACTACTATCCGGCGTGTATTTACCACCATATTGCCAGATGCGTGTTTACCAACATAATTATGGATAAAAAAAACCCTGATCCAACTCTCCAAAAACATTCTGGAGTAAATTCTGCGGTAGCTTGGATAGGAAGGACAACAATTAATATTATTCTTGCCTAACAGACTTGCTACTCCAGAGCCAGCACATCAGCGCCTGATTTTACAGCGCCAGATTCTTCAGTGCCATGACTGTCACGCATGACCTACTTTAGATCGCTGATCATGTCTGACCTGCTATATGCTTCCAACGCGTACTCTAGCTCATTGCAAAGAAGGTACCTCGACCGTCTACAGGTCCTGCAGAACAGTGGGGCTCGTGCTGTTTTTGGCCGCCCTCCGTGGTCGTCTGCCCGCGACCTGCTGGAGCGCATGGCAGTGTTCCGTGTGGCAGAAGTCTTCGATCAGAAGCTAGCATACCTGGTGTGGCGCTGTCGTTATGCACTGGCAAGTCCAGAGTTGCAAGCCCTGCTAACCCCCGCTGCACCCGGCCCTACTCGGCTCCAATCTGCCATGGGCCTGTGCGTGCCAGTTTCCCATTCAGTTGCGGGGCGGGGGCGCTTTGCTTGCAACGGTGCTGTATTATGGAATGCCCTCCCCAGCGACATCCGTGCCATCCATCACGCTCGGCATTTTCGCACGCAGGTAATCCCCTATACCTGTGCCCTGTAGATGCTGAAGACAAGCGAAATCTGTTTTTTTCTGTTTTCTTTCTGTTGTACCCGATCTCCCTCTGATGTACCGCTGACTCTATGCAAGATCTAAGCATTTAAATTCTCATTCTCATTATAATTTTCATATTCGCTTTCATGTTAGTGGGTTCTATGCCCGTTTGAATTTGCGAATCAAAGTAAATACAAACAAACAAACAAACAAACTGTCAGCGCGGTAAAGTACAGCGCCAGAAACTCAGCGCGAAAAAAGTAAGGTGCGGTAATTTACAGCGCGAAGAAGTACCGCGCAAAGAAGTTCAGCGCGATAAAGTACACCTTCAGCTGAGGCGCTAGTCGATATACGAGCCAGCACACGCGATGAGCAGGCAGGTTTTCGAGCTGGTCGAAGTACTGTAGATATGCTCTGTGTTCTGCAAATCATTATCGAAAAATCTCTTGAATGGCAGAATCCTGTATCCATTGTTTTTATCGATTATCGTAAAGCCTTTGACACAGTTAACCACTCACATCTTTTCGGTTGCCTTTTGGATTTTGGTTTCCCTCGCCACATAGTTTGTTTGCTTCAGAATCTTTACACAGGGATGAGCGGAGTTATCAGATGGAATGGCTCGTATTCGCCGGAGTTCGTCATCAAGAAGGGTGTTCGGCAGGGCTGTATTTTGTCCCCACATCTATTTAGCCTGTACACTGAGAGTGTTATGCGTGTTGCTGATGTGGACAGTATCGGTGTGAGAATCGGAGGACGCCGGCTGTCGAACCTACGATATTCAGATGACACGGGATTGTGTGCACATCCATCAGAAGTGTCTACCCTCACCAATGCTGTTAATGACGCTGGAAGAGAGAAGGGCCTGTCACTGAATCTGTCCAAAACCAAGATCATGTATATCGGAACCTGTACTGCTGGTGCAAACGATACTGCTCCAACACCCCTTGTGGTCGACAGAGAACGAATTGCAGAGGTGAGCAGTTTCAAGTATCTGGGATCCTGGAAGACAACAAACGGTGATTGCAGCCTCGATATTCGGTCAAGAATTGCCATGGCGAAAGAGCGTATGCTGCAGTTAATTGACATCTGGAAAGACCACAACATCTCCAGACAGCTGAAAATCCGGATAATGCATGCCTTAGTGTGGTCTGTCCTGCTGTATGGAGCTGAGAGTTGGACTCTGCGGAAGACAGATGAACGACGAATACAGGCAGCAGAAATGTGGTGCTACCGACGTCTGCTCAGAGTATCCTGGATGGAGAAGCGCACAAATGACAGTATCCTGGTGGAGTTGGGAGTACAGAGACAGCTGCTAGCCAGGGTCAGGATACGCAAACTGACCTATTTCGGGCACACATGCCGCCCATCTGGCTGCGAGCTTGTACGTGACGTGATGTTTGGTGTCGTGGATGGTAAGAGAAAGCGTGGTCGTCCGAAGATTTCCTTTGCTGACAACATCGTTTCGTGGACTGGTATGTCTCTGCATGAGAATTGCCAGTTGGCATCTGACAGAGATGCCTGGCAGTCGCACTGTGCATCTACTGCTTACACAGCTGCATAATGCCGTTTATTATTATTTTTAAAATTTTACTTTTATTATTTTTTCGGCAACGCAGATGATGATGATGATGACACGCGAAAATCACCCTTAGTGACATATTTTCAGAAACTGAGATGACAGCGGATAAAGGCAGATGGATTTATTACGTACACATGACATCTACTTGAAGTATACTAGTAGTACTAGTTTGATTTAATTATCAATAATTTGGCGCTGTGATACATGGCGCTGAGATATTTGGCGCTGAGATATGTTGTACATGTACTGAGATTATGGTGCTGAGATCTGTGACGTTGAGAAGGGTCAGGCTGATGTATTTGGCGCTGAGATATTTGGCGCTGACATACATAATTATATGTAGCGCTGAGATATTTTGCGCTTACCTGCTGGCGCTGAAGTAGGTAGCGCTGCAATATTTGGCGCTGTAAAATTCGGCGCTTATTTTCAGGACGCTGAAACGGTCGCGCTCACCTGACTGGTGCTGAACTTGAGGGCGCCGAGAGGGCATGGAGTTACTGGTTTTAGGGCACAGTTTATGCAGACAGACATAGTGGGATGGTCTAAGACCATGATTGAGAAACAGTGGGTTGGAAGCGCAGGGATTTTTTCCAGCCGTGCTGCGACCCATAGTTAAATGGGGAACTCATGGCCTGGCACTAGGCCTCGACGGGTAATGCTAGCATTGTAACTGGCATTACGAGCATCGTTTTGAGAAGTAGCAATGCTCCAGCATTGTACCCGGATTTGGAGCCAAAACAAGCATTAGCGCCCAAAAGTGTCATTTTCTCACTTCATGAGTGTGCATTACTGAATAAAACAGGAGGCCTACAATGTCACGTACACACTGTACTTTGTACCAGCGGCTTTTGGCAGTTTTGCTTAAACGTTAGCCTGCGACTTCGCAACATGCGTCTCTTGTTGCGAATCTTAGTGGCAGCTGCTAGGTACCACGTTGATGACATCATGGGAAACGGAAAGAAACCTTGTCTTTCCTATTCACAGAGTCATGCAGTGCTGGCTTGCTTGCACCATGAGTATATCAAATGGAAATTTGTTGGAAGTCTCTGATTCTTCGGAGGAAGAGAGTGAGGAAGATGAGTACGAGACAGAGGAGGATAATAACGAAGACGAGAACGAGGCAGAGGTGGAGGATGAGCCCGGTGAGGCATGCGCACGACTGCCCGAAGCCAAAGGAGCAAGCATATCGAGGGTTAGATCACTTATATTGTACTTTTTCATACCACACAATATACTAAATTTCCAAAATAGCATTCCGTATGCACCCTCAAAGTACTTTGAAGACTGTCGACGTAGGGTTCTGATTTACTATTCACTGCTAGTTCATGATAGCAACTTCAGTTCCACATCATTTTGAAATAGCATCACCGTAATTATAATCTACTTTCAAAGTACTAGGTACTTCCAATAGCCGTATTCCGTGCAGTGTGACTTACATTATGACACAATGCCATATGAGTGGTTCACATTGCCTTTTCAACTAGCATTACAAGTCCAAATGAGCATTCTAACGAGGATTACATGACCGAATAACTAGCAATGCTAAAAGTATTTTGAGCTGAAATAACGAGCATTACCCGCCGAGGCCTACCCGGCACAAGGAAAACATGGATGCAGTGATTGGAATTTTCGGTCTCTGACCACTTGCTGGTCTACTCACCTCCTTCCGCTTTAGCAGCTCCATCTGCGCCTTGATCCTTGAAGGGTGGTGGCGTTACTACGGATGCGGAAAACGCGAACCGTGAATTTTTTCCTCATTTTATCATGCCTATAGGGACCATTTTGTGTATAAAAAATGCGCGTTGCAGACAGATGTGGGATGAATGTAGTGGCAAGTGTTCGATGACTTGAATTCGATTCCCCTAATTCATCCAAGCTACAATTTGTAGTGTTTCTTCATTTTTTTTAGCTATTTAGAGTGGAATATTTTGTTTCGTTCCTGAATCAGGCAATTGCTACAAGAAAAAATGTTACACAAGTCAAGTGCGTCAAACTAAACGATGGGAACTTAGATGTTTTGATTCCGCCGATGAGAGTAGAGTGTGGCTGCTTCGAACGTTGATGCTTGTAACTGCCTTCATAATGACAGTCATGCTACTTGTTTGATTTGAGACTGGCGTCTGGAGCACATTGGACACTCAGTAAACTTGCAAGGAACTGTTTTGATTTCCTCTATAAATAAAGTATACAACAACAAAAAGTACCTCTTCCTGTTCCATGCACCTGCTGTGGGGAATTCAGCAATCAGTAGAGATTAGGCCTCTACCAAATATGCTAAAACAGTAGCATATTAT